GCAATCTTCATATCTGTCTTCTTCATCATTTATGTCGACATGTTCAGCGGATGCTCCAAGTCTCGGGGGACTCCAGACTATCAAGGGTCCTATGTAGCGGGAGCACAAAAATGCTAAAAGTAGTGGTCTTTTCTTATGGAAGCCCAATTTCGTCAAAATTCCAAAATTTGTCAGTTTTATTTAACTTAATCGCTGTTTCTCTTTTGTGGGGGGGCATCTTTTTTTCGGTTAATTTGCAAAACTTCAGTGCACCCGCTTCTTCACTTCTTTCTTTCTTTCTTTATCTTCTTTTCTTTCTTTCACTCTGCAATTTTCGCGATCATCTTATCCAGTCTTATCGGGTGTAATCCTTTCTTGCCCTTTCGTACCTCTTCTTGTCCTCATTTATCGTTTCTTATCCGGTGTTAATATTGTCGTCCTGCAGGGAGCATGACGAAATAATGGAGCTATACGACTGATGCATGTGAACCGGCATTTCGTGTCGATGCTGCATCGGTCTCTACCAGACCAGCGACCTCGAAAACAGAGGCCATGCTTTATTGGACGCCGGGTATCATCGTCATCATCATCATCATAGACTCGAGTGGTGGTCCATAGCTTCTAAGCTGCTGTACACAGATCATGCCGCTGCTGTGGGTGGCGCTGTGAGGAAGGACTGTCTCTTATACACATCTAGATGTGTATAAAAGACAAAAAAAAAAAAGAAAAAAGAAAAAAGAAAAGAAAGAAGAGAAAAGTTGAGTGCCTGAGGCCGGAACGCTGAGTCCCTGAGTCCCTGAGGCCATGGGCCTAGGGGTCCGTTGCTGTGTAACTTGGCGAAACGCGGTATTTTTGCTGGCAAACTACGGGAACCCGATAAAGCTGCAACGAAACATCTATTTTTGCGAAGGAAACTTCGAACGGACGACATTTTTGCTGCAAAACTTCGAAACAGCAATATTTTTGAAATTAACCCATTATTATTGTTAAGATGCTTGGCTTTTATATTGCAGCTCCGGCGGATAATGCGGTGGGGACCACACCCCAAATGTAAGGTGATAGAGGGCCGAGCTCATTCACCATCCTGACTGTTTGTAACCACAAGGCACACGATACAGAAAACAAAAAAGAAAGCATCTGTCCACAAAACGTGGCGAAATGCATTAGTTACTACTAGTAGTAAACGGATGAATGATTGTTCCATTCTTGGTGGGAAGGTGCATTCGTTTCGTTTTCAGGGAAGGTAACAAAGTGCATCGGGTACTCCCTATAGAAAACCAATGGATTGTTCCATATTCAGCGGCAGGATGCATTGGTTTTGTTTTCATTTCCACTGCAGTGCGGCCAGGGCCTATTTAACGGACTGGTGTTTCAGTGAAACAGTGCCCCCGACCATTTTAAGAGCAGGAGGAGGAGGTACTCGAGGCGACCGTTGTAGGGGACATGGATCATTCCTGGCTATGGCCAGAAAGGTTGCAAGCTCGGAGGAGAAGGCGGCTATGGCGGCAGGCTCACCATGCATCGTCTCCGAAAAGAGTCCCAACAACGAACGACTCTTTAGGTATATATACACAGTGACTGTACTGGGT